ATCCATCCTAAGACTTTAATAATAAGGTGATATGCATTATTTGCATCCCTCCATACCAAATGTACACCTTTATGATACATTTATAATATGTTGCTGGCTTAACGTCATGATGTTTGGGGGGTAGTGTATTTGAATATAGCAATCAAGAGACTTAGGTTAACTTTAAAGAAGGAAATCATGGGTATAATTTTAATTTTTCATATTTCTACACAGCTATTTACAGGAAACATTTACTCGCAGCCCTGGTCTTACAGGATAGGAACATTATACCATGTTCATAACACAGCACATAGGATCATGCGCGCTGACGTTCTCAGTCGCTCAGTCACATCTGACTGAGCATGAAGGCAGCCCCGTGGACCGTAGCCCGCCAGGCGCCTCTGTCCATGGGATGCTCCAGGCAACAATACTGGAGTGGGTTGCCATGCCCTCCTCCAGCGGATCTTCTCAGCTCAGGGGTCAAACCCAGGTCTCCTCCACTGCAGGCGGATTCTTCACTGCCTGAGCCCCAGGGAAGCCCAGGGATGCTGGAGTGGGGAGCCTGTCTTTTCTCCAGGGGAACTTCCCGACCCAGGAATCAAACCAGGGTCTCCTGCATTGCAAGAGGATTCTTTCCCAGCTGAGCTAACAGGAAAGCCCCAAATAACAGCATTTTGAGTGATATTTGTAGGAATAAATTGTAATTTTTGAATACTGGATTTATTTTAAAGTTCATAGTGACAAGATATACGTGGTGACCCAAGGATGAAAGAGCAGATAAGACCAAGGAGGGTCTTGGAATGCAGGAGCAGAGAAAGTAGACCCGTATCATCCTTCCCTCCCCCATGCTGTCCGTATTAACAGATTTCAGGCTCCCCTGAGCAGTGTAACCTGCCTCCCCTCCTCCCCACACGGAGAAGATGTTTTCCTTACTCCCCCCCCACCAACCCAGGATATGTGCCTCATCCAATCAGCAAATGACCCACAAGACCGCTATTCCACTCCTTGTACCCTGGGTATAAAAGTGGATTAAGGACCCCTGTTCAGCATCGGTTCTCACTTGAGCTGGCCCGCTGTTCTAATAGCATGTCCCACTGTAATAAACTTTATTTCCCTCTCATTCTGTCTGTTGTCTGGAAATTTTTTTCCAACTTGCCCCTGGACCACAACAATATATATATCTAATGCCGGGCTGGATGAAGCACAAGCTTCAATTAAGACTGTGGGAAGAAGTATCAACAACCGCAGATATCAGATGACACCACCCTTCTGGCAGAAAGTGAAGAACTAAAGAGCCTCCTAATGAAAGTGAAAGAGGAGTGTGAAAAAGTTGCCTTAAAATTCAGCATTCAGAAAACTAAGATCATGGCACCTGGTCCCTTCACTTCATGGTAAATAGATGGGGAAACAGTGGAAACAGTGACAGACTTTATTTTGGGGGGCTCCAAAATCACTGCAGATGGTGACTGCAATCATGAAATTAAAAGACGCTTGCTCCTTGGAAGAAAAGCTATGACCAACCTAAACAGCATATTACAAAACAGAGATATTACTTTACCAATAAAAGTCCATCTAGTCAAAGCTATGGTTTTTCCAGTAGTCATGTATGGATAGGAGAATTGGACTATAAAGAAAGCTGAGTGCCGAAGAATTGATGCTTTTAAACTGTGGTGTTGGAGAAGACTCTTGAGAGTCCCTTGGACTGCAGGGAGATCAAGCCAGTCAATCCTAAAGGAAAGCAGTCCTGAATATTCAGGACTGATGGGTTGGAAGGACTGGTGCTGAAGCTGAAGTTTCAATAATTTGGCCACCTGATGCGAAGAACTGACTGATTGGAAAAGACCCTGATGCTGGGAAAGATTGAAGGTGGGAAGAGAAGGGGACGACAGAGGATGAGATGGTTGCATGGCATCACCGACTCAATGGACCTGAGTTTGAGCAGGCTCTGGGAGTTGGTGATGGACAGAGAAGGTGGCATGTTGCAGTCCATGGGGTCTCAAAGAGTCAGACATGACTGAGTGACTGAACTGATGATACATACATGTGCATAGATATATATATTTTTTAACATTTTAGACCATAAATCCAACATGTAACTTCTTTAATAGTATATGAAAAAGGTGAAAGTGAAAGTTGCTCAGTCATGTCTGACTCTTGGGACGCCATGGACTGTAGCCTGCCAGGCTATTCTGTCCATGGAATTCTCCAGGCAAGAATACTGGAGTAGGTAATCGTTCCCTTCTCCAGGGGATCTTCCCATGTCCGGGATCCAACCAAGGTCTCCCGCACTGTAGATGTATTCTTTACCATTTGAGCCAACAGGGAAGCCCTTAGATAGCGTAAATAGAAGTCTGTGATGTAAAAAAATGAAATATAAGTGTTTCTACCATTATCTTCAGTTGATTTTAAGTACTAGATGTCAGTTAGTAAAAATAAAATTGGAAATAGCTATATGAAGGGAGAAATCTTAATTTTATGCTTTGTGAGGTTTTAGTTTTACATACTTAAAATTAATATTTTAAAGATAATTTGTTTTAACAATATGAAACTTCTTTTCCCCAAGGTCATAGTTTTCTATTCTTTATTATATATATATATACACACACACACATATACATATGCAGTTTTGTATATACATATTTAATGCCAATTGTAAAGAAAAGTAGAGAATACTAAACTAGATTTTAGAAAGTGTAGGAAAGCACTAAGACTGGAGAACTAATACAGTTTGATATAATAATACTATAACGTACTAGCATCTTTCACGTGGACAATCTGAGGACACAGATGTTTTCACGGATTATTTGGGAAACGCACTAGTCTTTCCACTTTTTTCCCCCAAGGGCTTATTGAACTTGAGTTTCATCCAAGTTAATTAATATGGACTTGGAAACACACTATTCATTAATTTAACTGTTCGTTCAATAAATATTTCCTGTCCTTGTACTAGGTGTCTGCACTGTATTAGAAAAAAGTAAACTCAGAGAAGAAAAGTTACCCAGCTCAGGACCTCCAGGAGATTAAGAGAAAGACACAGACCGAATTAGAATGAGATGTAACAAAGCCAGGAAGGAAGTAGTGCAGAATCTAGTGAGACTGCATACCTCCGGCTGGCTCTTATGCATTTTTGGCAATCAGGAAAGTCTTCCCTTTTGTAAGAAAAAAATTAACTAGGAGACTTAAACAAACAAGTGTGGACTAAAAAATATAAGCACAACCTGAAACTAGAGAGTTATTTTACTTGGTGGGAATGTTTAGGACTCTGAGCCCAGGAGACAACATCTCAGTAGCTCTGAGAAAACTGCTCCAAAGGGGCAGGGAGAAGTCAGTCTATGTACACACTAGTTTGCAACTAGTGCCCATTCAGAGCGGGCCCTCTGAACATCAAAGATCAGGTATTAAGGAATTTCGCATTCTGTGCAGAGGAAGATGCAGCCCTCTAGCTCCCTGAATTCATTCCTTTCAGATGCATCTCAGGTATCTGGAGTCAGTCCTGTTTTCCTAGGCCATCTCGCTTCTAGCATTCCCCCAGCTCCTAGGCAATCATCCTGGGGGTGGCAGCATCCAAAGTCTTGAAGCTGTGGGAGCTTGCATTCACATTTGGAGGCCAGAAATCACTGATGGCTGTGACATTTCTTGTTGATTAATATGGCAGGAGAAATTTTTATTTTACACACGCAAAAAAAAACAAAACAAAACACCAAACTCCTTTGGTTTGATTGTTTCCATATCAAATAAGTCCACCAGTCATCAAATTTTGAACAAACCATCAAAGTTCTAAACAGAACTATTGGGGGTTCTAGGGACCTATACAGAAATTTACTTAGGTCATTGATCCAACATATAAGTATTTCCATAGTAATCACTATTAAGGTGAAAGAAACCTTTCAATAACTAAAGTTTTTAAAAGTTCTACTGAAAGTGCTTATCTGTTCAATGCAACACTAAAGTTACACTGCATAGTGTTTCAAGTCACTAGTGAACTGAGACGTCGCTTTCATTTTCGGCACACACCCACACACACTCTAACACACACACACTCACACACACTCATACACTCACACACACACCCACCCACACACACAGACACACACAGACACACACACACTCACACAGACACACACTCATACACTTACACACACACTCACACACCCACACCCCCACACACACACTCTCACGCACACTCACACACAGACACACACACTCACACACACACACACTCATACACACTCATACACACACACACCCCCCCACACACAGACACACACACACTCACACACACACTCACACACTCTCTCACACCCACACACACACTCTCACGCACACACTCACACACTCACACACACACACTCACACCCCCACACACACACAGACACACACACCCACACCCACCCACACACAGACACACACTCTCACACACACACACACAGACACACACACACTCACACACTCACTCTTTTCCTGCACTCTCCTCTCCCTTTCCTCAGACAGCCTTTCCCTGCTCCCTGATGCGTTCTGGATGTGGAGTCAGCTCTGCTGTGAAAGAAAAAATGTCAAGTGTCTCAAAAAGTGAAAGTGATTTTGACCTGCTGCCCCGTGTTTCCACGTGTTCTCTTCCCTCCCGAGGAAGGATGGAGCAGCGAAGCAGGGGGCATGCGCGCGCCAGGCGGCGGCGGGTGGCTGAAGGAATTTGTTATCTTTGCAGCAACAGCTTGGCAGAGGAGTTGACACCACCACGAGGCTCAAGCCTACCTCCCAACAGTTTGGCGAGAAGAGCGCCAGTGAGTCGCAAGCCCTTTTACCAGGAAGGTCCTTCTTTCCTCCGCCGCCCCCCGGCACCTGGAGGGGAGAGTCCCAGAGGCTGTTTCCGTCCAGACTCGATTTCCTGCCCCCATCAAGATCTCCCACCCCTTCGCCCAGAAAGCCCATCCATCTCGCCCTTTCTCCACCTGCAGCCTGGAAAATGGGTAGAGACAGGTCGTCGACAACCTAGAGGCAGGAGCTTCAGGGGTTAAATCCCAATGCCCCGGGAGGGAAGGCTTAGCCGTGGGCGGGGACACTCTCGGCGCGGGGCTCGAGAGCTGCCGAGGAGGCTGCGGCCCCCGCCTCACGCCCCGGAGTTAAACGTCGGAGAGAACTCCGCTCAGTCTTCCGGCACCCGCGCCCCAGGCGTTAACGCTGGCCGCTTCGGGGTGCGGGCGAGAAAGCGTGTGAGCGGTATCCACAGCTCTCCATACCTCGGAGAGCTCGGCGAGAGAAGGAGGGGGCGAGGAGAGGCAGGATCCGCCTCCCCGGCCCGCGCGCACACACGCGCCCACCGCGGCTGGGGCTGGCGGAGCGCGGGCGAGTGTGAGCGCGAGTGTGCGCACGCCGCGGAGAGCCTCTGCCCTCGCCTCGCACCCTGCTCAGGGCATCTGGAGAGCCCGGAAACCTGAACAGGCTTAANTTTTTTGTGTGTGTGTGTGTGCGTTTGCAGTTTAAACGAATCCCCAGGACAGAACCAAAAGGAGGAGAAATTATGCCCAGAAAATTTTACCCGCATCCTGGACAGTTTACTCGATGGTTATGACAACAGGCTGCGTCCCGGATTTGGGGGTATGAACGATTTCAATCGCCCAAGTGTGTCCTCTGTATGTCTCTCTCTGCGTCTGCCTGTCTGTCTGTGGGAATATCGTTAGGTATGCCTGGAATGCGAAAATGAAAAATCGGTTAGTCTCTCTCTTTCTCCCCCACCTTCCGCCCCCTTCTCTCTCTCCCCTCGTTTGACAAGACCTCTGACAAGAAGCCGCCCCCACGGTACTTTCCATCTCCCTGCCCCCTCGGCAGCTCGGCGGCTCCCCCACACTAATTACCTCCCGGGACCTGACTGCTGGGCGGGGGAGGGTGAAGGGAAGGCGTCAACAACGGGGACCTGGGGCTCAGCCGGCCCGCTGCTCTGCGTCCCGAGAATGGGCTTCTCCCAACTTGGCCACCGTGCTCAGAGCAGGTTGCTCTTGGACAGCCGGTTCTAAGTCCCCTGTGCCCCCACGTGGTGGTACTTCCTCAGCCAAAACCTCGACCGTGTTCTACCTAGGACAGGAATCTAGGGCACGAAGCTGTCTGCTCTCCTAGAGAACCCAGTCCTTGCCTCTTCTTTTCTACCCTGGGATCAAATTGTACTTTATTTGGAGAGGTGGCTGCTTACTTCCCTCCCAAGACTTGGAAGTCAGGGATGCTTCCGCTTTATTTCTTCCTGAAGTTATATGTATAAAGGGTCTAATCGGGGCACGTCCATTCACAGCATTGTTGCTCTTTTTTTCCCGTCCATAGTCCTTTTGCTTATGTAATGAGAATCTCAAGCATTGTGCTAGGCACCAGGTTCACAGAAATCTCAAGATACAAGTCTTAACCTCAAACACCCTCTCAGTCCAGTTCAGTGAGAACAGTCTTCGCCTAAAGCCTCAGCCCATGTCTCTGACCGCCCAGTTCCTGTTCTTTCCACTATTCTGGTCTAGTTACTTCTTGGGAAATGAGTCGAGTAAGACACAGGCTCTACCTTAAAGGATAAGGAAGCTTACTGTTTAACCTCACAACAACCCCGAGAGAAAGGTATTAATTACTATCCCTGTTTTACAGATGCAGAAATTGAGGCTTGGGAAGATAACCAATAGGTCCAAGTTCACAGTTAATAAAGGGCATGGGCAACACTGGAACCTAGACCAAGTTGTGTACTTAGAAGACAGACCCACAAAGACGGGGGCGCTATCAGATACCCTCTGATGAATATCATAGTATTAGGAGCACTGAGGCATTTGCGCTTCCTTTTGAGGGTTTTGGGAGATAAGGATGGGGAGTGTAGAAAGTAAATGGGAGCAGAATGTTCCTGGGAAGAAGAACAGAATTAGATATTATTCCAGAGGTGTTTGGTCCCAGCTTAGAAAGAATTGTTGAAATTAAAAGAGAATTGGATGGGTTTTAGGAGTCTCTCCAGCCTTGTTCTTCTCATGTAACAAAGGAGAATGTTTGAGAGAAAGTGATTTCCACTGGGGAACAGAATATACGAGGCTTCTCTGGTGGTAAAGAATCCACCTGCACAGGACACAGGAGCAGATCCTCTGGAGAAAGGGCATGGCAACCCACTGCAGTATCCTTGCCTGGAGAATTCCGTGGACAGAGGAGCCTGGCGGGCTACAGTCCTTGGGTTCCTTAAGAGTCAAACATGACTGAATGACTAACATGGCATATTAGTGATAGACTGGAATCCAGTCTTCTGGAACCAGGAGCCCCCTTTATTCCTTATTCCTGGATTTTATTGAGAAGGTTACTGGGAGCCATTGAGGGATTTAATTCATTTTTTTTTTTTTTTTTTGCATTTTGACAGTGATAAAGATGGGTGAGAGGATGAAAGATTCTCCCAGTTCTTCTCATGTTGCCTCTCTAGGGGTAGGATGCTTAGCCCTGCATTTGCCTTCATGCAAATCTGAAAAAAGGCTTCCTTACAGAAGTGAATCATTTGTCAATGCACGATCTTTCATAAGTGACTGGGAAATTATCACTTTAGATCAAAAATAACTGTGTGGAGAAGGTTTCAGATGATGTGATGCTATTTAAGGCTATATTATATCAATAAAAGAGGATTTATCTGCCCATAAAGTTTTTAAACTTGACATTTTAAGTAAAGGAAAAAAAAATAGAAGTATCAAATCACATGTAGTTTAAATATTCATTAGTGAGTTGATGTCCCTGAACATAAATTAAAGCAAAAAGTTATTGAAACTGTATGATTTTATGATTAAATGTGGAAAATTGAAATCACATCTGCCCAGTTGGTTGTAATGCAAGTTATAATTCAAAAGGAAGAAGGGATCCATTGTAGATGCATCTTTTTTTTACCAACTACCTTTTCCTATGATAGTATATAGACAATAAAATAAATGAAATCCACCTATAGAAGCCATTGCTGGATTTTGGTTAGCTTCAGGACTGCTAAAATGTTTCAAGGGCATTAGTCATCTTGTTTGTCTCTGCCAAGTGATATTCATTGCCCACTTGGAGGTTCTTTTATAGCTTTATGGGAAGGGGTTGAATCCACATTATTTTAAGTGTTAGTAGTTGATTCATTATTAATAATTTACCATGTAGCGCAATTTTGGGGGGTGTTGCTCATAAATATTTGTGGTGAATGTGATTCATTATTTAGAAGTGGGTCATTCTCTGTAAATGTGTAGTATTCCAGATGTAACAGAGGAACAGTAATTCTCACCTGCAGAAAAATGTGTAATCTGTTTACATGATGTTATAAATGAGCATCACAGAAAAGTGAGAAAATTCATTGTTAGCAGAAACTCTTGAATGCCACAGGTTTGATGCTTTCCTTGACATTTTATATCTTGTGGAAAATTTGGCATTTTTGAAATGAAAATAATTCAGATTTTGACCATTGTGCTATAAATACAGATTAAGTTCCTGGTTCCCTTAATCCTACTTCTGCTCTTTGTAGATCATTTACTTTATATCTGTTTATACAACTGAGCAGTGTTCCCTTTAAAATAAAGCTAAAAGCAAAGATCTGAATTGAAATGGGAAGGTTTGTGATTGCTCAGTAGGCCAGGCAAGGGTTGAAATAGACTTGGAAATGAAATTACGTATTTTTAACTCAGCAGCACAGCTTGCAATGGGGAAGTAAAAGGAACTGAAATGGTTCTTTCTTTTCATCCCTCCAGGATCCCCTCTCCCTTGTCTCTGTTGGGAGAGGAAAGGGGGAAGGGGAGACGGGAAGGATGGAGGCAGAGTGAGTGAGGGCAGTTAGACTGGGACATCTGAAAAGGCAGAGTCCTTCCAGCCTGCTGCCAGCTGGAAGGGGCTTGCACCCTCCAGAAGCAGCACACAGTAGGCCATCCCACAGAGGAGCTAGAGAGCCATCCCCGGGGCCTCTGTCCCCTTCAGCACTGTTATACGAGTTCTTAAAGATGCAGAGCTAAGGTGCTGACCACCTGGAGGTAGCCTCCGAAGCCAGCCCTCATCCACTTCCATTGATCAAAGGATTACACAACCTTTTTGTGCATCTCTGCACGAAATCTGGAATAATTGAGGCACATCATCTGGAATAATAAATGCTTCCAGAGACGTATAGATAGAGATAATTGCCTTGGCTCATCTTCCACAATCTCTCTGAAATGGCAGTGGAACAAGAGGATTTTGCAAGGATGTTCAGAAACACTGTAGGACTTCGTGGGAGTAGGGTTTTCTGCAATTTTGAAAACATTTTCACATATGATTTCTAATAAGATGATCACAACAATGCAAAAAGATAAACAGGGCATGCTTCATTCTTCTCTTAGAGAGGAGGCTGGGAAAACTGCGAGGAATTACCCAAGAATCCTGCATCTTCTAATTGACAAGATCAGAATTCACACTTGACTCTTTAAAACCTTAGTCAGGCAGCTGGTCTTTTGCTTCACCCACTTCTAAGACATTTTTTGCATTCTTCTGTTGACCAAGAGTCAAATTTTCATGAACATACCTTCCTGTTACTAAGTAGGTCATTACAATAAGCAAAACGCCATTTCCCCCAGAGGAGTAAAATAAGAACTTTTATTTTAAAGACTTAATAACATTTTTAAATGGGAAAGCAAACATTGGGGGAATATATTGTTGTTCAGTCACTCAGTCGCATCCGACTTTTTGCGACCCCATGGACTGAAGCACGCCAGGATTGCCTGTCCTTCACCATCTCCTGGAGCTTGCTCAGAGTCATGTCCACTGAGTTGGTGATGCCATCCAACCATCTTGTCCTTTGTTTCCCCTTCTCCTGCCTTCAATCTTTCCCAGCATCAGGATCTTTTCTAATGACTTGGCTCTTTGCGTCAGGTGGCCAAAGTATTGGAGCTTCAGCTTCAGCATCAGACCTTCCAGTGAATATTCAGGATTGATATTTTTTAGGATTGATATACCCTAGGTAAATTTGGAATAATTTTCCCACAGAAATGCAAATATCCTTGAAATGTTTTAAAATGATGTATTGTTGTTCAGTCACTAAGTTGTGTCCGACTCTTTGCAACCCCACATCTCAAGCTAAAAATTAAATTGATATATCATGCCAGTTTTATTAATTGAATATTGACAGAGAATATATTTTTAAAAATATATAAATGCAAAGAACACTTGAAGTCCACAGGGCAACAGAAAAATAGAGCTTCTTTCTCTTCAAACTTGTCACTTCCATTCATTGGTTAAATCAATAGATAGTGAGAAATTGTTATGTGCTAAGAACAATGTGAAGTTGTAAAGATATAATTCTGAATCAGACACAGGCTAAGCAGTGTAGAGAGATAAAAATAACAGGGAAGCAAATAATTAAAGATAATGCTATGGAACAATCCAGATGCTAAGACAAAGAATAAATTGGGTGAGAGATCTATTTCAGATACAGTGGATGAGGTAGATGTTTAAGCTGAGACCTAAAGGTGGCAGACATGGGGAGTATCAGGGTCTTTTCTAATGAGTTGGCTCTTTGCGTCAGGTGGCCAAAGTATTGGAGCTTCAGCTTCAGCATCAGACCTTCCAGTGAATATTCAGGATTGATATTTTTTAGGATTGATATACCCTAGGTAAAT